ACACTACACTACATTACATTACACTACTTTACACTCCACAACACTACAACTACAACTACACAACTACACTCCACTACACTACACTACACTCCACTACACTAAATTACATTACACTACACTACATTACACTACACTCCACTACACTACAGTACGCTACATTACACTACACTACGCCACACTACCTTCCACTAGACTTCACTACAATACATTGCACTACACTCCGCTACACTACAACTACACAACTACACTCCACTACACTCCACTACACTAAATTACACTACACTACACTGCTTTACGCTACACTCCACTACACTACATTACACTACACTACACTACATTACACTGAATGACACTGCACCACAGATAGACAGGTAGAATGACACTGCACCACAGATAGACAGGTAGACAGATAGATAGATAGATAGATAGACAGATAGACAGGTAGACAGCTAGACAGATAGACAGATGAAGGAGAGAGAGAGAGAGAGGTGTAGGTAGGTAGGTAGGTAGGATAAATAGGGTAGATAGGGTAGATAGGATAGATAGGATAGATAGGATAGATAGGATAGATAGGATAGATGGGATAGATGGGATAGATGGGATAGATAGGATAGATAGGATAGATAGGATAGATAGGATAGATAGGATAGATAGGATAGTTAGGATAGATAGGATAGTTAGGATAGATAGGATAGATAGGATAGATAGGATAGATAGGATAGATAGGATAGATAGGATAGATAGGATAGATAGGATAGATAGGATAGTTAGGATAGTTAGGATAGTTAGGATAGATAGATAGATAGATAGATAAATAAATACATACATAGATAGGTAGGTAGGTAGGTAGATAGTCAGAGAAAGAGAGAGAAAGAGAGGAGACTTCAACCACCTTTCAGTCCATCAGTGGCTTCGCTCTGCCATCCCTGATTCACAACAACAAATCTCTCCTATAGGTTTCCTATTTTTGAAACTTCCGCCACCGCCTTGTGCGGTACTACTGGAATAAATATTACCATGTGGGTAAGCAATAGCAATAAACAACCGTAACTCATCCTGTCGTCTTGGCAAAAGACCTTCATATCATTTCATACCAACATTTAATTTTCAAGATCCTTCACCGGGAAATTGTTACCATTAAATGGTGAAACAAATGGTGAAACACATGCAACATCGCAATACACAGAATGTATACTAAACGTATTCTGGTTGGTACTGCGCCGAAAGCCGGCAAGCAACCAGGACATCACCTAAGATAATCATAGAATATATCAGCATTTCCAGCATTGCACGCTTCAAATGTGATGGCATACGATTTGCCGTTCTAGTTCTCGAATTCTTTCTAGTGTCGTTTTATATACTGTAATGGGATTCGATCCGGTATTCGGCCAAGGCAACGGGTAGTTTTCATGGGGATGGGTGAGTCGAGATCTCAGCGCTTTGTGAGGTCTTTGCAAAATATGTGGGGGATGACTTGTTGACCGTGCAGTGATGAGATGTGATGAGACTTCATGAGATTTCCCTCTTAGATCTAAGAGAAAATTGTGTTTGCTAAGAGGTTTTGTGATGTTCGCAGAGCTGACGGTCATTTTGTATGGCAGAGGCCATTGTTGAACTACTCTGAAGTCTCCAGCGTCATCCGGCAGCTGCATGAGGCACACAAACGGAACTTCTGTAGGGCTGATTTTTTAATTAAGAAATGATACAATACATCTTCGGACAAATATGTATACATTATATTATATAATTATATAGATAATTTCCCATTCATCCTGCTTGTTTGGTTGCAGTTGGTTATACCACCTGCGCGACCTGCGTTTATTTTTCAACAATTCCCAACATCTTTGTATTTGATCACGTGGATTTTTGTAGATTCAACGTGCCAGAGCTTCCAAAAGAGTCACAGGACAACATTTTCAGCCGCCCTTGGGTCAGACACTCAATCAGCAATCGGTTATGGTTGGAATCGGGCAGGGGGCGCACATGGGCTCACAGCATTGAAAGACTTTGCTGAGAGCGCCACATGATCATGCGTACTGTATTCTTCTGGCGGTTAGATTTTACAGCCGTGTCAGCTTGGACTTGTGTGTCCTCTTGTGGGTCAATCATGGTTGTAGATAAGTTTAGCGGACAGCAGACTTTGTTCAAATCAGCGAGGACACTTGTAGCAAAGGAAAGCAATGATGATTGAAGAGGAGACAAAAACACATGCAGCTAGCTCGCAAACTACCATGGTAGGACTGCAGCGAAGGCGCACACTGGTGAAGACCTGCCTTTTGAACTGCTTGGACCTCCAAGGCCATCACAGTCAGCACAGTGGGTGTGGCGCCAGCTTCCCAGTTGAACTGGTTGTGCAAGGTCAGTAGATTTGATTTGTCTCCTTGAAGCTCTATAACAATTGCACACTGACTCTGCATCACTCTGCTCTAGCGAAGACAGTGAGGCCAAAGATTCGGAGTTTAGCACATGACCACCCAAAGGCGTCACTGAACACATTGGCCGCAGATGAGTTGCCAGTCAAGACGGGAAGTGTTGAATGTCAACGACACTAGGGCATGTCCAAGTACATGTATGTTTGATAGTGTTTGGCCTTGCAACATGGGTGGGGCCTGTGTATGGCATATCAGCACACCTTTTCAGAGAGGCCGCTTCGCTACAAGATCTGTAGTGTGCACACATGCTAGCCGTACATACTCATACTTTGCCTGCGATAGGCAGCGAAAACAAAAATTGATGCTGAAATTTCCCAGCTGCCTGAAATCATACTGAAATCGACCGATCCGGAAAAGGTGGCTTTGGCTGTCTCTCTACATGCGTCGGGTCTCCCAAATACACGCACCAGTGATGGGTTAGCGCATGCTGGTTTCATGCAACCTTCTGAAAAGATGTCACCCCAACCGCACAAACACCCTGCACTTGTCACTGCCGCAGCCGCCGTGAATATATTTTGGATAAAACCTGAGGAGTGGCTTTGATCCAGAAGGGCGATTGCTCCATCAATCAACAACGTACCCTCTATCTCCAGCTCTTGCCGTTTTTTCACGTTTGTGCGAATACGGGTATTAACATTATATATTAATATAGCAATATATAATTATATATTATTATGGGTATTAACATCATATATATAATACTAATACCAAAGATGCTGCTCCCACTGTTCCATGTTGATCCATGGTCTCAACAGTCTCAACTGTGAAGGCCCTCCCAAGCCTTGCGCCAGCAGTTGCTTCCTGGCAGTGCGGCGTGCGAAGCTTACCTTTGCTGCAGAATCACCAGGGCGCCGGAGTCTTGCAGTATATTGCACTTTCATAGCAAGAAACCATATATATATAATATTATAGAATTAGTATTAGTTGGTTAACAAATAGCAAACACATGAAAAACATTGTATATATATAATTATATGATTATTTATATTACATAATTATATATATGTAGCAACAGTATCAATGAAGGGATCTAGCATCCAAATCACCGTAACTGTCCAAAGGCGGTGGCCATTGGAAACTGTGCTGGAAGCAGCACCGGTCCTCAGGGGCAACCATGATCTATTATGACATATTATATAATATATGTTTTGTAATATATTATGCATGTTATATATATTTTTATTTATACATATATATATATATATTTGACATTGTGGTTTTGAAATGATTGGAAGGTCAGGGTCTAAGGTTTGCACCTCCAACATGTATCTTAGAATTGGGCCGCCTGAAGAAACGGTGTTATGTCAAGCGGGCATTTTCCACTGAGAATGGTTGGAGTATGTTGGAATTCTGGCAAACGAAGAACATGAGAGAAAAATAGGCATTGGATGTTTGCGAGTTTCTGACTATGTTTCCAATACTGTCGGCATGGTTGCTTCAATCAACTTCAATCAACATGGAGGTATCATGATGTATTAAATGGTAGTACGGTACTGTACTGCATGGGTTGTTCTCTGTTTGAAGGTCTGGTGACTCTCTAAGATATCTTTGGATTCTGAATGTCCATTTTGACCACTTTACATCTTGCTGAGGTGACCTATCATCAAGAGACTGTGGGCCGTGTGCCCATGTTTGCCAGATCCTAATTCATCTTGGGATCGCTGAACTCGAAATGAGTGGGAGGTGTTCATCGTTTCAACGTCTGGGGAATCGTGACATGCCAAGGCATACACATTGCTCCCCGGAGTAAACGATTCAGAGGCTATCTGGGGGGGCAAACTATTGAGATTTGTCAAAAGAGACACTTCATGGCTCATCAGTTTTCTTTCTGGCTCTTTATGCATATGGAAGGCAAATTGAAAAATATGCGGGAACGATGGTCAATGGTGGACTTTTGATTGTTTTGAGCCTACGGCGCTGTGATTGTAGGTGTGGCGCAGCTTTGAGTGGTGTCAGTACAATTTGGCTTTGTCAGTATGACATGACCTTCTGATATGTCAGGAGCACGCTAAAGAGTTGGTCGAACTTTTGCAGCCGAGACCTGAAGCTGGGGTTTTGAAAGACAGTTTGACATTTAGCTTTGTCAGACTTGGCCCTCTTGCTTTGGGGTGGTTCAGGCGTACGCCAGGATCGCCCAGGAGTTTCATTAATTTGGTGCCAAGCTTGGAATATGGGACTCAGAAATGACGTTGTTTTCCAGTGCTTCATTGCTGATCGATCTCAGATCCGTTAACATCATAGAACATGTTCTCAACATTTCTCAACTATGGTTCAAGCCAAGCCAGTGACAGAGACGTACTAGTAGGGACGGCATGGAGGATGCCTCGCTATCAGCACGTTAAATCCACAAGCCAAACTGAGACACAGCATTGGTTGTTTACTTGCACCTGCTCCAACATGCTCACACTCAAACATGATTTAATCATATTGAACCATACGCTGGGTCTTCCAATGTGTTGAGAGGATTTCACAATGTTTTCGCCTTCTTTTCACTGCAAATTCAAGAGATGTTCTTATGGTAACTTATGGTAACTTATGGTGCCCTTTCTTCCCAGCATTTTCTGCCTCATGCCATGGAGCTACTCAGCGCCTGAGCAGAGGAGACTGCAGATGCAGCGAGTGGCTCTATGGCTGGGGTACCTCTACGGCTTAATTTTTTCAGATAGGTAGCATTTTACGTTCTTGCCGGCCCTCAACAGTAGTATGAATCGTATTAAGATAGAACCGGTGAGCCTGACAGGGCTTTGAAAACATGCTTTGGTTTTCGAACTAAACTAGACTGCCTGTTCCAGAGGCACTGTTGGCGGCATAGCGAAATCATGTGTTCAAGTAGTCAGTGTGTTTCGAGGTGCTGTTTCAACAACAGGAATCGGCAGGTTGGCGCGCACTAATTTCCAAAGGGCGAGGAATGGCCTAATTATGCCTAATTCATCCTAATCCAATTCATCCAATTGCCAGTCTTCCAGATCTTCCAGCGATGAAATTGTCATTCCTTACATTACTGGTACTGGAGTGTCGCACCCAGTCCTGATATTAATTCGGTAAATACATGTAAATACAACATGGGCGGCAACAACTCTGTTTTCTTTTGGTCGATTGTGAACGATTGCACTGTTGGACTGTGACTGAAAGATCAGCAGTGATCCTGCATCCCGTCCACTCCTTGATCTTTTCTTGTGCAAGGTTGGTATACAGCGGCGTTGCGAATGATTGCAGCAATTGCGAACACTTCCCACGGATTTGTGACGACGTGGCTTGGTCATCTCATTTAGATTGACGGTTAATGATGCCATGCCTGGCAGAGATGTCTCAGACAATTGCTTTGTTCATCTTTGTTCTAACACCCGAGGTGGAGTACTGTATCGAGAACTGCGGAACTTTGCGCACTTATGAGGGGCACTGTGCCAAGTTAAGGCCAATGATGCATTTGATCAACAACCTATTTTGACGAGCTGATGATGTATTTTGAGAATGCACGGACCTACTGTAACTAATGTGCCATGTGTATCCATGTGCAATCTTCAGATTGCGCAGAGCCGATGGGCTTTTTGATCTTTTTGCTTGCGTTTATGTCGTTTGATGTCGTTTGTAGCTTTGCCACTTCTTGTCTCTTCCAGCTTTTTGACTCGCATCATCCAGGGTCTTGGGAGTCTTGGGCCTTGGGTCTTTGGTAATTTTGCATGGGGAGGTGTCATCAACGTTGAGTGATGAGTGAAGGTCCTTTGAGTCTCATCCACAGCCCATCAAGTTCGAAGACAACATGCCGAGACGAGCCCATGAGGCTCCACTGATAGGGTGGCAACTGCGCATGGCATTTTGAAATTTGATATCATAGACTATCCAACTTCCAACCCTCACCAAATTGCTGAAAGATGTTAGAAGATGCAATTGTGCTTCGACTCCTGTTTGACCTGATTGTCCAAGAATCGGCTGCTCCCCCCAGCAGAGTGCCCTCTAGTTGGATTGACAAACACTTACAAAATCTTGCAAGGAGAGACGTGAACAGTACGTTGACGAGCGAACTGAATCTAGGCTGAATATATGGCCTAGTATGCTGAGCAGTCAAAGTTTGGAAGAAGCATATTGCTTATTGATGCTTATTGTATATTGGTATGCATTGGGATGTATTGGGAAGTATTCAATAGTCTGGACATGTTCGCACATGTTCGCGCCATGCATGCAAATGCATTCGAATCGTGATGGACAGACGTGGAAAGCACATGAAAGCATGATGCAGTATTGACATGACCAGAACAGGCCAGGACCAGCCAGGACCAGCCACTATTCTAAGGTGATGAGGCAAATGATGTCACCTGAGGGCCATGGTCCTCGAAGATCAGAAATGTGACCTGGAGGGAGCTGGTGGCAACGTTTGTTCGAGTCAGGAGGCCCTCAAAATGAGACCTGTCCTACAGGAGCTGACCGCTTTCAAGAAGAAAAGTGCAAGTGCTTGTAGCCACAACAGCGGCAGACAGCTGTCAAGCTCTTTTGGTTACTGTAATTACTTGGAAAGCTTGGTTGGTTATGATTATAATACTGTATATTATGATATGTTATGAATTGTTATGATATTTATACGCCAGAGGGGATATGGTTGGGGATGCCACATCATGGGTGCAGGCCCGCCTGATACCCTTTGTTGGGACATTCATTTGGTCCGGTTGCTCCCATGCTGTTCTTCACCCCATGTCTCCTGACGGGGTTTGCGTTTTCGTCGCCGCGTCGTGCTGGTGGTGGTGGCAGTGGTTCTGGTGGTTGGTGGTTGGTGAGGGTGCCACTGATATTCTATTTTGAAAAGACATTATTGGTAAGTGCGCCCTCTAGCGCCTAAGGAGAATAAGTACAATTTTGAAGGGACTTGCTTCAAGCGGGCATGCAACGCAGCCGGTGGGTGGTCAGGGTTACTATCACAATATAATATAATACGATATATATATATAATATATATATATATATATTATAGATACCCCTTGGATATTTCAGCTATAAAATCAGGACCGCAGCCGCAGGCGTCCCCCATACTCAAAAAAAAATACAATCACCTGGTCCAAAAGTGGTCACAAAACAATTATCCAAACTCTCATTTTTTTGTGGGGGCTGTACACTTTGATTTTATAGAATAGAATGATTGATTGTGAACAAGGAATGCAAAGGCATGAGTGTTAATTTTATACTGGAACTATTTTGCGATAACAGAGTGGAGGAGACTGTTGGTTTTGATTTTATAATGGGTCTAGTTTTGGGGTAACAGATTGGAGGAGGCTGTGTGTTTTGATTTTATGGTGGGTTTATTTTGGAATAACAAATGGATGATTGTGCTTTTTTTTAAATATAGGTTTTCTCTTTGTAGACACGGTGTTGGTTGGTTGGCTCAAATTAAAGCCTGCAAGTTGACCACGGGTGCTGGTTTCCAAGGCAAGCAATGCAAATCACATCAAATCACGGTCCAATATCTATAAAATCAAGATACCTACGCTCTTTATTGTTTGGCTGTATGGGGTTTATGCTCTCTGCATACCCCTTTCTTTTTTCTATATACCCAGGTATTGTCTGAAATGGACATTTTAGTCAGATGCGGTCTGTGCACAAAGTGTCCAAAAAAATGCAAAAATGAGGCCATTCGTAAACAATTTGTAAGCCAACATGTGACTTATGACCAATTCAGGGTGGCTCAGGCACCTGACCTTTATAGAGGGCTATTTTTGGCATGGTTCTGATTTTTGGCCTGACTTTATATATAGAGGGACGGTTTTGCTATAAAATCATATAAAATCATGGTTGGTAGCCCCCCAAAAAATATGGCGCACAATCTATGAGAGAGTCGTCATCAAAATAAAGTAACCCAGAACTTGATTTTACACTGATCTTTGGATGCTGTGGAATTCATTGTTTCTGTGCCTTGATTTTATAGGCATTCTGCAGTATTGGGGGCAATCTATACTTGTTAGATTTTATAGCTTTGTACATCCCTGTGTAGGGCTGGACACTTTGATTTTATAGAGATGGCAGGGTTATCGGGGGCTGTGACCCACCAAATTATACGTAGCTATAAAATCAGGGGCACCTGGGTCCCCCCAAATATCCAAAGGGATGATAAATAAATATTCAATAATATTCATATATTAATCATTATAATCACAATTAGTGCCTGTTGGTAAACTAAAAGAGACGATATATGCATGCATATATATATAATATATGTAAGCAACCTTCATATAGCAAGTCTCAAAGCACCACGAAGCTTCTTTCCCCTGAGTCAGGTGCCGTACAACGCAACCAGTGCCGAGAGCCAAGGATCTAGACAAAGCTTACCAAGCAATTGTCACCACTTGTGCCCATGTCTATCCAGGTCTATCCAGGTCTATCCATGTCCTGATTATTTATTTATGTTTCAATTATATGCTAAATCATGCGTGCAGTTCTGTTTGACATGCTTGCCGGCTTGATTTGCCAACTTCACAACTGGCTTGCCAGAACTGTTCCACAGGATTTGCACGTCAAATCAAGGCTGGAGAAGAAGCTGGCTTTGTGGTGTCCGGATCTTCAGTGATTTGGACTCTGTCAGGAGAGTGGGCATGGATATGCTACGGAAAGCCAACAAGCGTAAATAAGCGATATGTAGTGATTGATGTTTGCTGAGTTTGATTAAACACAGTTTTCACCATAATGTTACTTAAATACTTGTTCATACTTATGTCATACTTGTTCTGGTTCAATCCCGTAAGTGAACCATGGAAGTGCTGGTGAGTGATGGGGCTATGAGCTGATTTCATCTGATTTCTGCCTTGCATCAAGGCCAAGCCAAAAGCAGCTGAGGGACTTTCGCTCCTTGTGCGCTTTCCCATGGAAGGGCCAATTCAATTGTGGCACTTTCCCATGTTTTGTTTTGTCTTAAATTCTCTTGCAATGAAGCGCACATGTAAACAAGACTGCGGACAAAACAATAGACTCAATAGACGATACTATCAGTTGACTTGGACACCAGCTGGCACTGTTTCCATTGGTTTCCTGTTTTCACCATTTTTGTTCTATACACTGCTTGCTGGCTCTGGGTTTGCGTTTGACAGTGTTCACTCATGTTCACTCGTCAGGCTCCGCTCGTTGGGCTTTCGTGCCACAGTGAGGCTAAGTGCAAAGTGTTTTTTTTTTGTGTGTTCTTTTGTGGAAAGAATATGACCAGAGATGCTTGCGGCTTGCCACCTCCAGAAGTCGCATTGCCGACTGTCAAAAGACAGCACAAGACGAGCTCGGTCAAATCATATACTGTAAGTCATTCGATACATCATGATGCATCCAACATACTCATTTTCAGTTTTCAAGGCAGTTTGCCACACATTTTCAATTATTATATATATATACAGTGTGAATCAATAAAGACTCGCAACAGACAGCATCAAACCAACCATCCAGGAACTAAAGTGCCTCATGTTGGCAATTGATCCTTTCATATCTGTTCATTGTTTTGCATTGGTATATTTACATGTCCGCCTCTGTGACACAGGTGGAGCACCACTGAAGGAGGGAGCCCAAGACCAGCACATTCGTGGCTGTTTATTTTTGACGGGCGTGAGCAGTCAAACCTTCATCTAACCGCCCTAACCGCGTGATTGCATAACATGTTTGATATTCTATTTTTGGTAATCATTGATTGGGTGGATTGACTGTGACAGATTCAAACACCACACTTGCAGATTGCATAATCTTCCACAATCATCCACAATCTAGATTTCTCGTGATTTCTCCATGTACAGGTAATGCCTTCTACACTTCATGGCCGGTCTAAGCACTGGTCGGGAAGAGCATTGCATGACTTTTTGGGACCAGCCATGCACTGAGTCAGGCCGTGTTTTAGGAGCGGCTTGTGGCCAGCTCACCGCGAGAGAGCATGCAACCTCAAGACAGCAGGACAGATTTCATCAAAATCACGACATTTTGGGTCAGACATGGTCAGAGTTCCGAAGTTGATGTTCGTTCGCTGTTCCAAAGGAGCCGGCAGAAAGTCCTAATCCTTCTGGAGATGCTGCTTTGCTGTGCGAGCCTAAGTTCAATTTGTGGTCAGCAGGACGCCAGGGCATCAGGCGTAAACAACGTAGCATCGATCTTCAGCATGGCTAAAGCATCTCACGTTTTTGGCATTTTCTGATCTCATTGTCCGAGACTGCTGAAGCCGTCTGAATCCCGCTGGCCACACACCACTTCCATATTATATATCATATATATATATATATATCATACTATATTATGTTATGTTATCTTATATATATATATCATATAATGTCAAATAGACACATTGTCACACACACATATATATATATATGTATAATATTACAAATTATACAAAATGCTGGATCGCACTGGTGGGTAGGGACTGGTGCACATTTCACCTGCAAACCCGGCGCATTTGTGGGAGCTAAAGGACTTGGAGGATGTACCGTGCATCTGCTGCAGCAACTTGGACTTTACAGCTGGTGTGGCGTGAAGTATGTTTCAGCAACCTGACGTAGAATCGTGGGAAACTGCTGCGGCATGAAATGGGGTATTTGGATGTGACATGGGTATGGGTCAATACCTATAGATACATTTTTAGTGGGATGAACATCCATAAATCCCAGCTATTTTGGGGTTCACTAGGTACCAGGGTTTTGACCCATCCCCACATGATAATCCAAGAAGTTCCAATCGTGTGCCAACCCACTCCCAATTCACAGTGGCAAACCACTTCCCTCGCCTGCGAGACAACTGCCCAGGAGCTGCTTCAGCTCATCGCTCAGAATGCGTTGCAGACTCAGGTGGAAGGGCATCTGAAGATCACACTTCCAACGACGTCCAACCAAACATATATAATACACACATATATATATAATATTAATATATAACATATTTAGATATATATAGGACAAACAGTGAACACATCATATCACATGTTGCCAGTGTCGGATCTCAGTATTGACATCAGTTAACCCTGTCACATTTTGTCATACCTTTTCTGTTAAGGTCAGAGCTGAATTCGATCCACGTTAGCTTGATAGCCCAGGAAGGCGTCCTGCGGCTGAAGTGTTCCTCTCACTGAGATGTATGCTGTTTTCTCTTGTAGATTCATGTTTATTCCTTCTACTTCTACCGTACTTTATTACTGTTACTAATAACATTATATAATATAAATATTACTAGATATTACATGATATTACTAGTTACTAGTACTACTTCCTATACTGTAGTACTATGTAGTACTATTTGAATCTATTTGATACGAAAAAGTACCGCTTTCCAGGGATGGCCGGATGGCCATGTTTGTTGTTCGCCCTCCTGCAGTTCGCCTGAGGTGCAGCCTTCGTCACCTTGGCGCGT